AAGGACCTCTGGTTGTTTGGAGGAACATAAGTTCTTTGGACAAAGGGGGACACTCTATCTTGCAGCAATTTTTTTGTTTTAATCGCACTTTGGGTGCAAATTTTCAGAGCAGAATTTGTTTTATATTCAACAGTTTGTGTACATTTGGTTTCACTCCCCGATTACCATCCCCAACCCTAACCCACTCTCCTCCTCTCCCTTCCCAGTGGCCTCCCCATCCCTGTGCCCTTCTTAGTAATACACTCCTGTCTGTCCAGCTTTCCCTCCACGTGAAAGCTGTCCTTCTGGTGCCTCATGGCCGATTGCTCTAAGGAGTGTATCTCTGTAGAGTAGGTGGGTGCATCACCCTGAGTTGAGTGTTCTGCATGTAAGTCTACTATTGGGCTGAGAGCCAGACCTTGGGAGCTTGTCCATTTCTAGGCCCAAAGGGTATCCCAAGGCCATATGCTTTGAAACATTACTCAGCCTGGGAAAGAAATCTAACATTTGCTGAGTGTCTGCTGTGCTGGGGAGGCACTGGGTAGTGCAAACAGTTAATGTATTTGGCTGCTACCCAAAGGGATAGAGGTTCAACTCTACCCAGAGAGGTTTCGGAAGAAAGGTCTGGTGATATATTCTAGAAAAATCAGTCACTGAAAACCCTATGGAAAATGCACCGACCCGTGTCACATTAGTTTTGTGTATTTTACCATACATAAATTATATTTCTATAACATTAAAAAAAAAAAAAAAAACCTATGGAGTACTGTTGTTCCCTGACACACATGGGGTTATCATGAGTTGAGAGTTGACTCAACAGCAACTGGTATACATGGTATGTTGTTTGCTGTGCACTGACTAAATGCATTGTATGTCTTATCACACTAAGTTGTTATGATAATTCCATGAGGAATTGAGGAAACTGAGGTTCAAAAGGTTAAGCTATTCATCTAAATTAAGGTCAACAAACATTTTCTGTAAAGGGTGAGAAAATAAGTAATTTAGGCTTTGTGGGTCATGGGGTCTCCATCACAAACATTTGACTTTGCTACGTATAAAAAGCTAGAGGCTCTGGTGGTGTAGTGCCTAAGTGTGGTAGTTAAGTTTGTGTGTCAACTTAGCTGGGTCTGGTTCAGTGGCTGGGCAGCTGGATGTAGTATTCCCCATGAGAATCAACTCAATGGTGGAGTCTACTTCCTGTATATAAGGAGAAGCCTTGGGAAACAGTCTCTAGCTTATGGCAGGCTTGAACCCTGCATGTAACCATGTCCCTATTCAGCAGCTCTGCCAACCTTGGAACTTTCAATGAACTTGAATTAATGGCCTGCTGTGTGGTTTGGTAACATCGGGACTATGCCTTTTTACTTGTCAATCTTGGGCTTGTCAGCCTCAGCAGCCAGCAGCTGTCTGAGAAAGAAAAGCCTCTAGCTCCAGTGGGCCAGGAGCAGGAGGTGAAGCTGAAGCCCAAGGTTGAGGGGCTTTCACCCAGCCCCTAGAACCTGGCATTTTGAACTTGGACTTAAAGCCTCCCAACTGTAAGAGAATAAACTCCTGTTTGTTCAAGCATCCCATTTGTGGTATATCCTCACTCTAGACTCACTCTCTGCTGAGAACCACAGACACTGTCTCCCAGGTGGTGATGCACTTACTTGGGAAAAAGATCTACTGAAGCAATTCTCTGGTGGGTCCCTGAGTTGCATAAGGAGATGAAGGGTGCAGGGGGTGGAGTGGAGTGCCTCCAGGGATCAAGCTAGTCCCAGGAAGATAGGAAGAGGTAGAGAGACTGACACCCAGTCTCCTGGGCCTCCTCCACAGCTCCACCAGGCAGCAGATTCAGGCCCCAGGAGGGAGGAGGCCTTTCCAAAACAGACCAATAGGCCTCAGCAGGCAGGAGCACCAAGGCCCCAAGGCAGCAGTGGTGCCACACACATTCAGTTCAACAAATACGCATTCAGCTCTCAGTGAACTCTTCTTTCTCCTTCATTGCCTTCCTGGTTTCCTCAACTTGATAAGCCAACTCATTTTGAAGCTTGATGCCTCCACCTGCCTCAGTCCCACCCTCTCCTAGGTTCTGAGTGGGATTCAAGGCTCTGGTCAGCAGGTCAGTACCCTCCCAAGTTAGGTGTATGGGGTTAACATGGTTCTCTAGGTGTTGCAATCAGTTAAGCACTTGACTACTATCCAAAAGGTGGGCAGTGTGAACCCACCTTGAGGAGCCTGGAGATCTGCTTCAGAAAGATCACAGCCTTGAAAACCCTAAGGAGCACAGCTCTACTCTGGAACACATGGGGGAAAAAAAAACCAAACTCACTGCCATTGAGTCAACTGCGACTCACAGCGACCCCTCCTTGGTTTTCCAAGGTGGTATCTCTATGGAAGTAGGTTGCCCAACCTTCCTTCCGAGGAGTGGCTGGTGGGTTTGAACCACCAGCCTTCTGGTTAGCAGTCAAATGCCTTAGGCACTATGCCACCAGACCTCCCAGAACACATGGAGTCACCATGATTCAGAATTTACTTGATGGCAACCTTTTTTTTTTAAATTATGGGGTTAATGTGCTCAGCAGCTAACCAATAGGGTGAAGGAATCCACCCAGAGTTGCCTCAGAAGAAAGGTGTGGCAATCGACTTCTGAAAAATTAGCCACTGAAATCCCTATGGAGCACAGTTCTACTCTGACACATATGGGGTCACCATGTATTGGTATCGACGCCACAGCAGCTGGTTTAGTTTTTGTTTTTTATGTGTCAGGAGTGTGGGGAGGCCACCATGGGAAATGAGAACGCCACTAGGCACGTCTCAGCCTGCAGCTGCTGGAGTCCTTCTGCAATCCCTGTCTGCTTGTGGCTTCCCTGCTCGGACCAGCCCCTCAGCCTAGGCAGCTCTAACAGGCTCCCGGGTGATGCTGATGCTGCTACTGAGCACTCTGGGCAGCTAGTGTCTAGAGCAGGGGTTCTCAAAGCAGCAAGGACCCTTGTTAGAAATTAGAAATGCAAATTCTCAGGCTTCCCCCAAGACCTAATGTCCCTGGAGGGCAATACTACCCTCAGTTGAGAACCACCGAGTTAGAATGAGCCATGGGGATTGTACCCAACCTGTGGCCCAGGACTCAGAACCGCTGGGGATCAGGCCAACCCATCTGTGTTAACAAGCCCTGAGACCCACTTGTCCGTCTTGAAAGCCCCTCAACTCGTCAGCTCAAAGCTCTCATGGAGTTGAGCATGGTGATGTGGGAGAGCTCTGGACAGTGAGTGTCGGTCAGCCCAGCTGTCCTTGCTAGGTGATCTAACGCAGGGGCCTGCCTGCCCTGAGCTTCAGAGCCCTAGAGTGAGGATGCTAAGGGCCACCCCTCCTGATGCAGAGGATCTCTTTGTACCATAGGTTCAATTCCAACCCTCCTCACAGTCCCTGCAGTTCTCAATCATGGGGCTCAACAATGGAATTTTTGTGTATGGAATTAAAATGCTACTTAAAGATTTATAGGTGACCACTAGAGGAGCTACTAGGATGGCTCTTATGGTGGGAGAACAAGTGGGAGCACATTCAATTTCCTATTTAACTATCAGAGAAGGGCAATAACAGGTAATGGAATTGAGTGCAGTCAAAGTGACACCCAAGAAAGAGATGGTATCTCTTTATGTTACTTTCTCTCTCTCTTTCTTTCTCTCTCTGTGTGCATCTTTCTACCAAGAGAGACTCAAGCAAAGGCATCTAAGGTGATAACCAGGGCCAGCACTGGATGCACGTTTCTGGGTAATGAGATCGGATGTGTGTGTGTTATTTTTCATCAAACAATAAAAACCATTAGTTGAAAACAGCATTACATGCATATTACTTAGGAATGCAGAAGTAAATATGAGAAGATAATGTAAAAGAATTAAAAGTGAGTGTTTCTGGGGCTTAATGCAGAAGGGAGGTGGGAGCAGAGGACACGTGTGTTATTTTGTTTAAGTAACAAACGTATTAAAAATAAGACAATGTTCACTGGAGCATTATTCACAATAGTCAAAAGGTGGAATCAGCCAAAATGTCCATCAACAGATGAGTGGATAAACAAATATCTACATAGTGGAATATTATTCAGCCAAAAACCAAAATGCAATTCTGATACATGCTACAACATAGATGAACCTTGAAAGTATGCTGAGTGAAATAACCCAGATACAAAAGGACAAATATTGTATGATCTCACTTACATGAAATATCAAGAATAGGAAAATACACAGAGATCAAAACTGATTAGCGATTCTGAAGGGCAGGCAGGAGGGAGGCAGAGTTACTGTTTAAGAGGCACTGAATGACCGTCAAAAGTGTAATGGAAAAATTTAGAAACGGACAGTGCTGATAGTTGTACAACTTGGTGAATATAATCAATATCACTGAGTTGTACATATGACAATGGTTGAAATGGTAAATGTTTTGTTATCTATATTTCACTTCAATAAAAAATATACAAAGAAAAGAGATATTAAAAAAAAAAATAAGGTTTCAATCTATGTGATGGATTTACCAATTTACACTTGGTGTTGACGTAGGGTCATTCCTTTGCCATCCCATCTTTCTCACTTGGATACTCTTGATTGGAAGAAAGAGCAGAAGGGCTAGACCCAGGTTTTCTGACCTTGACACTAATGACATTTGGAGCGGGATGAGTGTTTGTTTCCGAGTGTGTCTGGGGCTTTGGAAGATGTTGAGCAGCATTCCTGGTCTCTCTACCCACTGGATGCCAGGAGCATCATCCCCACTTGTGACAACCAAAAATGTCTGCTGGCATGGCCTGACGTCTCTGGAGGGCAACATCCCCGGTTGAGAACTCTTGGGTTACAATGAACAATGGGGACTGTACACAACCTGTGGCCTAGGGCAGGGCTACGGGAGGAGTGTGCACATCCCAGCAGGCTGCAGGAGAAAAGATCCCACCCTCACTGGCAGCTACCTCCTGCCCATAGAGGCCATGGGGACCTCTGTGAGCACCCTAGGTGCCTCCCACTGTGGGGGTCCCTCACCCCTCAGGGGCCTCTTACCCAGCCTGATATCGCCCTCGAGGGTCATCAGCACATTGCCGGCTTTCAGATCTCGGTGGATGATCCTCTTGCTGTGGAGGAAGTTGAGGGCTTCCAGCATCTGGCGGCAAATGACCTGAATCTGGGGCTCGGTGAGGCCCCTATCCAGCTCTGAAAACAGACAGAAGGACCATCAGACATTGTAGATTGAACAAACACACAGTATAGGCAATGGAACATTAGCCTCAGCCAAAGTTGCCAGCATTATTGAGCACTTACTGTGTACCAGGTTCACATCTAAGCACTTCGTGTGTATTGACCCATTTCGTTCTTGCAACAACCCTATGGGGCAGGTGCAAAGATTATCGCCATTTTACAGATTAGAAAATTGAGGGTCAGAGGTTAAGTAACTTGCTCAAGCACACAGGTGGGAAGTCACAGATCTGAAATTCAAACAAACTAAGGCAGTCTGGCTGCAGAGCTCAGGCTGGTTAACACCATCCAATTGAGATTCAGAAATTAATTTGGTTAGTAGGCTCCCTGGGTGGCACAGCTAAGCACTCAACTACTATCTGAAAGGTTGGAGGTTTAAACCCACCCAGAGGTACCTCAGAAGAAATGCCTGACAATCTGTTTCTGAAAGGTTGTTGTTGTTAGGTGCTATCGAGTCAGCTCTGACTCAGAGCAACAGAACAAAACACTGATTGTGTGCCAGCCTCACAATCCTTGCTATACCTGAGCCTATCACTGCAGCCACTGTGTCAATCCATCTTGTTAAGTTTCCCTGACCCTCCATTTACCAAGCATGAATCCTTCTCCAGGGAACAGTTCCTTCTGACAGCATGACCAAAGCAGGTGAGATGAAGCCTGGCAATTCTGGCTTCCAAGGAGCATTCTGGCTGCACTTCTTCCAGGACAGATGTGTTCACTCTTCTTGCAGTCCATGGTACTTTCAGTATTCTTTGCCAACACCACAATTCAAAAGCATCAACTCTCCTTCAGTTTTCATTATTCACTGTCCAGCTTTCACATGCATATAAGGCTTGGGTCAGGAACACCTTCATCTTCAAAATGTTATCTTTGCTCTTCAACACTTTGCAGAGGTCTTTTGCAGCAGATTTGCTCAGTGCAATATGATGTCTGATTTCTTGATTGCTGCATCCATGGGTGTTGATTGTGGATCCAAGTAAAATGAAATCACTGACAATTCCAATCTTTTCTTTATTTATCATGATGCTACTTATTGGTCCAGTTGTGAGGGTTTTAATTTTCTTTAGGTTGAGATGTAATCCATACTGCAGACTGTAGTCTTTGATCTTCATCAGTAAGTGCTTCAAGTCATCTTCACTTTCAGCAAGCAAGGTTGTGTCATCTGCATATCGCAGATTGTTAATGAGTCTTCCTCCAATCCTGGTGCTGTGTTGTTCTTCATAGAGTCCAGCTTCTGTCAGTCTGTCATACTGTGGTGGCTTGCATATTGCTGTAAGGCTGGAAGCTATGCCACTGGTATTTCAAAATCCAGCAGAGTCACCCATGGCAGGCGGGTTTTAGCAGAGCCTCGACTAAAACAGACTGAGAAGAAGGAAGGGGCCGTCCACTTCTCAAAGAATTGGCCAATGAAAATCTTCTGAAAGGTAACAGCCTTGGAAACCCTATGGAACAGTTCTACTCTGCACACATGGGGTCACTATGAGTTGGAAGAGCAACTAGTTTGGTTTTGGTTTGGTTCTGTCAGCAGGCACTGGGTGAGTGCTTACAATGTGCCAGGTTCCAAGCTTGGTGCAGGGATGGACATGGAAACAGTAAGTGATGCTTGGGATGGAGGGGAAGACAGGCTCATAGGAGGATGGGCAGCAGTGCCCTCTGTCTGGAAGAACTGGAAGCCTTCTCAGAGAAGGGCACATCTGAGCTGTGTCTTGAAGGAATTATAGGGTTGAGAAGAAAAGATGGGTAAGGGCACTGCATATCAAGGAACTGTCAGAAGCAAAAGCCTGGTGGCTGCAAAAAGCTGGTATTCAAGAAATGGTCAACCAGCTGGGTTTGTGGCACGCAGGAAATGTGAGAGGGGTGGACAGGCCAGAAGGACCAGTCACCAGGGCCTGTCAGATGCTAGTCAGGGAGAACACACACACATGGGCTACACACTCTCAGTTCCCTCAGAGAGCACAGGGCATTCTCTGAGGAAGTGACACTCAGGCTGAGGCCTGAAAAAGGAGCAAGACAGAGAACTCTGGGAAAGACAAGAGTATTCGGTGCAGGGGGAATAATATGTGCAAAGAACCCTGGTGTGGCTAGAGGAGAAGAAGGAGAGGAAAGAGAGGTCAGAGGTCAGCAGAGCTAGATTACACAGGACCTCAAGGTCCCCAGTATGGACATTGCATTTAATCAGTTGTGACCAGCAGTCTGCAAGACGTTCTAAGCAAAGCAGAGACATATCTGATCTATGTCTTACAAAACTCCTCTCTACCTGCATAGACTGAAGAAATTAGAAGGAAGGAGGAGGTCAACCTGGACCTGATGGTGGCCAAGGTGGTGAGAAGGAAGGATTCCCGATCCCAGGAATTAACCAGTGGTTGAGTTGACCCTGATTCATGGCAACCTCATGTGTGTCAGAGTAGAACTGTGCTCTATAGGGTGTTCAGTGGCTGAGTTTTCAAAACAGATCACCAAACCTTTCTTCCGAGGTGCCTATGGATGAACACAAACTACCGGCCTTTTGGTTAAGCACCAAGTGTGTTAACCATTTTTACTACCCAGAATCTCCTAGTCCCAGGGGTTTAGGCAGTAGAAATGATAGAATATGGGGCCTGCTGGATGTGGTGGTAGAAGGGAGTGAGAAGATCAAGGATGACATCCTTGTGCTCAAGTGTTGGACATGACCATTAATATTTCTTTTTGTGACCTGAGACCCCTGTGCTGAGGTAGTGCTCACCTCCCTGGTTTTCAGGCCTCATACTCTGAAATTGGTCATACAGGGCAATTCTCCCAGGCCCCCCTCCAACTAGAACACCACTCAGAGAAACAGTACCTCCTGTATCTCCCCTGCAGGCGTTTGGCCAGGAATCCACAAGGTTCAGCTCCCCTCTCCAGATCCCCCAGGGATGATAAAAATAAACGTACCAGCCAGGCTGCTGGCACCAATTTCAGCACTCTGGGAAGCCAGACCTCAGTGGACTGGAGCCTCTCTCCGGGACCTGCAAGCAGCTCCTCCCTGTGGCCTCATCATTAACCTCTATGCCCCCAGCAAGGGGCTAGGCTCAAAACCTGCAAGAACTATGGGGTCACACTGACTGAGCCTGAACTCAGGCATTGCCTCTCATGAGCTGTGCACTTTCTGACAAATCACTCAACCTCTCTGGGGCTTCATTTCCTATAAAATGGGTAGGACTATAACCACTGCAAACAAAGCTCCAGTAATAAATCATGTTAAGTTTTCAATATGGTATCAAAAAAAAAAAACAGTTGCCAAGAAAATAACTGACTCATGGCAACGCTATGTGTGTTAGAGTAGAATTATGATCCATAGGATTTTCAATGATTGCCAGGACTTTTTTCCAAGGTGCCTCTGGATGGACTCAAACCTCCAACCTTTTAATTAGCAGCTAAGTACATCAGTTGTTTGCACAAGCCAAGGACGTCTCATCATGGTAAGTGGTCAATAAAAATGATTATTGTTGACCAGAAGAACTAGATGGTGCCCAGCTACCATTGTCAACCACTTGGAGGGGTATCTATGTAGGAGATCCTAGATGGAATGGGAGACCAATGTGGAACAAAACTTAAAATGATTAAAAAAAAAAAAAAAGGGACCAGTTTTGCTGATCTGACAGAGCCTGGTGGAACCTCTGAGACTACGGTCCCTAGCTACCCTTCAGGTCTGGAATTAAACCCACTCCTGTGGCTTCCAGCCAAACAAAACACAGACATATGAGCTGAACATTCGCATTAGGTAGATACACTCCTTGGAGAGAGCAATCATGGGAGAATAGAAGGGCTGTGTATGCACAGGGAGACAGCTCGGGGGACAGAAGTGTATGGGAAGGAAGGACATAGGGAGGAGGTGGCTATGGGGAGAAAGTGGGAGAGCAGCTGTTACACTGTGGAAAATTGCAGTCAATGTCATGAGACAGTGTATGTGAATTGCTGTATGGAAGATCAATTTGCTTTGTAAACTTTCACCCAAATCACAATAAAATTAAAAAAAAAAAAAAAAAAAGATTATTGTTGTTTTGATTCCAAGATGCGTCCAGGACTAAGTTATCTGCAGTTACTTTAAAAACGGCAAAAATGGGTCTTATTCAATTCTGATTTATTCATATGAATGAGACAGGAATAATAAAGGTGATGATGACAATGATGATCTAATATTCAGCATCTTTTGAGCCCTTTCAATGCACCAGCCATAGGGCTATGGACTTGGTACATTATCTTATCTAAACCCAGGGGTGGATTACTCAATAAGCAAGGTAGGCACAGGCTTACTTGTGCCTACCAATCTGTAGTCAACAATTTCACTTGGGTTTCACCATTTTATATGGTGAAAAATGTGAAATTCCTCACCACAGATTAATAAATAAGCACAAGTAAGCTTGTGCTTACCTTGCTTACTAGGTACTCAGTCAGTCACTGTCAGGATCGTACTTTTGAAAAGAGGCTTTGATTCTGTAGGAAGGTGGTGTGGGGTTAGGGGAGAAAGAGATGCCAGTCACATCTAGAAGAAGAATCTTTGATGTCGTGAAAAAAATGCAGAATTATTCACTACAGACTAGTAAGTAAGCACAAGTAAGCTTGGGATTACCTGCCTATTAGGTATTCTGTCCTTGTCAGGATCATAAATTTGAAAAGAGGCTCTGATTCTGTAGGAAGGTGCTGCAAGGTTGGGAGAGAAACACATGCCAGCCATACCTAGAAGCAGAATCTTTGATGTGGTGAAAAACTGTGAAATTGTTCACTGCACTTTAGTAAGTAAGTACAACTAAGCCCTTGTTTAAATCTCACAACAACTCACTGTGGTAGGTATGATCTTTTTTTTTCCTTAAAGTCTGATTTATTGAGGTAGAATTTACATATAGTCAAATTCACTCCTTCTAGGGGTACATCTATGAATTTCAGCACCATCACCCCAATTCAGACATAGATTATCTCTACCTCTAAAAACTCCCATGTCCCCT